ATGCGGAATCTGTGGAGGGGACAGCACAGCTTGCAGGGTGATCTCGGGAATCTTCAAGCACAGCCTGACCAACCTTGGCTACCACAAAATAGTAGAAATTCCAGAAGGAGCCACCAAAATCAACATCACAGAGATGTCCAAAAGCAACAATTACTTGGGTAAGTGGTCTATCTCCCCCCCCCCAAAAAAAACCCCAAAGAAATCTTCTTCTAGTTGGGTGATCTGCTGGTACTGGAGATGCCAGAATTCCCTATTCAGGCTTCATGATTCCTAGGTGCAGTAGGTCCCAAGTGATTTGGAAGAAACCAGATTGAGAATAATGTTGCTGGAGGAGAAGGCATAGAAGCACAAAAGAGAGTCAGCCTATGTTGGTTTGGGAAGAGTGTTGTTGTGAACATTGTTTGTTGAATGAAACCTTCTGGGAACATCGTTTTTTTTTTTTCCTAAAAAGGATGTCAGTCAAAAGAAAGCTCGTGAGATCACTTACTGGTGGAAATCGAACCATTGAGTGAATGGCCAAAAACAATAATAGGCTTTGTAAGGAGTATTGGGTGATGCCCAAAGTGATGTATGGGTTAATAATACATCAGATGATCTAGAAGTGGAGGATCTGAAAATTGAGCTGTGCAATCAGTTCCCTTTGGTCACACCTCCTCCTCCTCCCCCTCCTTCTCTTCCTCCTCCTCTTCTTCCTCCTCCTCCTCCTCTTCCTCCTCCTCCTCTTCTTCTCCTTCTCCTTCCTTCTCCTATTCCTCCTCCCCTCCTCCTCCTCCTCGTTGCTCTGCTGCTCCTGTTTTCATCTACTTTGTCTGAAATATAGAGGTGACCTCATGGCTCCCTAGACGGTCATATATGAAAAAAGAAAATACGCTTTGCTTCTGATGTAAGCAAAATGCCTGGTAGCCAGCAGGATGGAGCAGCAGCTTTGGGAACCTTCAACAGTGGGAGATTGATCTGGTGCAGACAGGTCTCCAAATACATCTACCAAACATTGGTACTAGCCAAGCTGTGAAACTCTAGGGATTGAACAAACCCTGGGAAACGGCATGTGGGTTTTCTTCCCAGGCATGCCAAGGAGTGCGGTTCTTTTTTAGAACAGGAATGTTGCTATTTTTCTGCCCCATGGAAATGGCACGGTACATTCGATTTAATTTAAGGCAACTTCTAAGAAGGAACGATACCAGAAATATCCCACCCTCAATCTTTTCATTCCTTCTAGTTCGGAGCTAGCTTGCAACGTCTTTAGCTAGAGAGCCTTTTTTATTTTTGGCCAAGTATTTATCTAGTTCAGGGGTCGGCAACCTGCAGCTCTGGAGCTGCATGTGGCTCTTTCATCCCTCTGCTGTGGCTCCCTGTTGTCAGTCGACTCCGCACTTGATAGGGTTTTCAGTTAGGACAGGTAGAGGAAAAAGGACGCCATGCTAGGAGGAGACTCTATGGTGGGGGAACCGGACTTCTGTTTGGCAGAGGAAAAAGGATGCCACTGTCAAGGTTCCAAATAACATCCAAAATTAAATCAGAGTCCGAGGCAAAGGATTCCTCAA